ATCTCGTAGTATGCCAATACAAACTGCAGTACATTGATATAAATGATAGAACATGTAGAGCTGTAAAAGCCTCACACGTTGAGGAGCTGGACAGCTGGAAAACTTCGAAATTGACAACCATGAAGGTCCTTTTATTTTCCTTTTAACAAGAAAGAGCTCCAAGGCACTGCAAACATCAATGCTGATTAGAAATCTTTTATGCATTAAACGTTATATTAGAAAATAGATTAATATCCAGATACTCATGAAGCAGTACAACATTCAAAATCCAGGGAATTTCTCCTTGTTCAAAACTGATTAAAAAGATTGAGAGACTTATATCACTAATGTAATTGAGGAAAATATGGAAGTCCTCAACCAGGTGCACAACAAACAAACCCAAAGTACAAATGTAAGCAAAATATATCAACTTCCAAGCTATGCAAAAATCCCTCCATGTTGTTTGCTTTACTAGTTCAAATAGGCAGCACATAATCAACATGAACTTCAAAAACCATGCCAAGTCATTGTTGTTAGAAAAACTTCAATATTTAAACTTCTGGAAAAGGTGCTCTCATCAAAACCTGCTATGAGTTCCAAGCAAAGCATAGAAGTGATCTCCCTTGAGATCTGATGGTAGCACTGGATCCTGTAAAGGTGGAGTACACAAGTAAATAGGCTTCACAATAATTCTCCATTCTTGTCACATGCTAGTTCAGAATCATGACTATTTAATCTCTAATATTCACTCAAAGACTAAGATATATTGGACTTAAATCTTACAAAATTTGTAAAAAATAAATATTAACAAACCTTAAATGGATAGTTGATCTTGAGGACATAATTTTTCCCATGAGGTATGTCTGTTCGCTCGAAAGCATAATTTCTCTACCAAGGAAGTAAAAGAAACAGAATGAAACAACTGAGCTGATTTGGCAACATTAACTGTGCAATTTGACTAAAGATCTGAATGCAACATAACTTCTAAGTGACAAAAGAAAAAGAATACAGATTGAAAGGTATTACAGAATTGATATAACTAAATCAACTAAATATATTTTCACAAAAGCCTAACGCATCAAATCAACTACTATTCAAACCTTGACAGGTGCCATGCTAAAACTTGAAACGTTACGATCCACTAACTGCTTTGCCATTTCAGTTTTCACGGCCAATGCCATCTCCTAACAACAGAAAAATGGAGCATCAAAATAGGATGAGACAAGTGAATATATAAGCATACAGCAGCAAGATATTACATGCAGCCGAGTGCACAGAGTGCTTTGAGACTCTTCCACGTCACTCTCTAGCTTTGCAATTGTGTCTTTATAATCTGTGGATGAAATTCGGGATTGTTCACCATCTTTCTCTCGCTTTATGGTTTCTTTAAAAGTTTTGAGTGACATTCGAGAATCTTCAATGTCCCTCTCTAGCTTAGCAATTGTGTCATTGTGCAGAAAAGGAACTGTTGGGAAAGCATAAACACATCTTTGCATGTTCTTTACAACCACACAGCAGCTATGATATGTATCTCCAGCTTTGACCTTGGTAGTAACAATAACAAGTATCAGATGAAAAATTTGAAGTTCTTATTTTTCATTGCATTTCAAATCACGAAGCAAACGCAAATTTGCCAAGTACACACTTGACTAGTAAAACAAATAATAAAGGACAACATTAGATTAGGCTGATTGTTGAACAACTGATCCCATTTCTACCTATGCTGCATGTGAACTCGATCCACCACAAAAATGAAATAATTGACTCGCTACTCCGGGCTGGACTAGAAAATTTCTAACCAAGATGCTACAATATAACAATCGAATAAACTAGCGTTAATATCTATAAATATGAGAACATTTGTGGCTGAAAAGTTATGCAATAGCTGACGCTCAAAAATGCTTTCAAAAGTGGAAGTTAGAAAATGAGTCATCCCAATCAAGTTTGCCTGAACTTCAGACTGTGCAGTGTAATCAAATATCTAAAGACAGCAGATAATGACTAATATAGATGAAAGCATAACCATGACATAAACAATTAACATACTTTTCCAAATAGATAGAGGTTCCCTGCATTAGCACCATAAATTTCTTCATGTGCATCAAGTATGTAGAAAGGCAATGACCCTTTGGAATCCACTTCAAAGTCAGACTTTTCCTCATTGCTAGAGCTCTGGTTTGGTCCATATTCATCAGCAATCACAATTTCTCCAGCGCTCCTTACGGCCTGCCATCCCAGAGTCGCACTCAAATCCAGATCCTTCGATTCCTCAATTTTTGCATTGAGACTGAACACCTTTTCCTTCTCCTTCACAGCTGACTCCTCCTTTACTTCAACCCTGTTTAACAAACTATCTTCATTCTGGTTTTTATTATCCGAACATTCACTATTTTCCTTCCCTTCCTCTTTTGATTCATTACATAAAGTCCTGCCTTCTTCAGTTTCCCTAGGCATAACCTTCTCCTTGCCCATCATACTTTCACCCCGTTCCAAATGGAACAATGACTGGCTCCCGCCAAAATTGATCTCCTGAATTTCATCTGAAACGCTGGAATTAACACCGCCAGTAACAGTCTTTTCAAGCTTAACCAAAGCATCATTCAAATTAACAGGTACAAAATTCTTCAAGTTATTCAGATTCCCTCTCCTACGCTTCTCCCTATCATTCTCATCGGGCGCAAACTCTGCAATCACTTCATCGACAATACTATCGCATGACAAATTAGTGGCTTTATTATCCTCCCTATTTTTCTTAAACACTGATGATGTGAACATATTAGAAATCCTCTGCCTCCCCATTAGTGCAGCTGCCGATTGAAGAGCCGAGGGCTTTTTGGTGATTTCTCTCTCTTTTTTCTCCAGATTATTACTATTTTTCTTTCTTTTAGGCCTCTCGGGTTCTCCCTCCGATTCTTCAGATGATAAGGGAACACCGGCGAGGGACCAATCCTCTTCCTGGCCCTCATCGCCGTAACCTAGGCCGTCATCATCGATTATGAAACCCTTGACTTCTTCCCGGCGCTTGGCAACTAGGGCTTCGTACTCCTCCTCGTCCACCGTATCGTAGATCGGTTGGTCCACCTTGACCTGGAAGTCAAGGTCCCGGCGACCACCGCTTCGGAGAGCCTTCAGCCGCTCGAGCGCCTCTGCACGTGCCTCCGCAGCAGCGCCACGGGTCCGACGCCTTCCGGCTACCGTTGGCTGCTCGTCGGACATTTATTCTTGCTTTATCTGTCGGTCTCTCTCTAGATCTAAGCTCTATGCGTGGAAGAAATGGATTTGATGGGAAGGAGAAGAAACAAAAGGCGGGAACTTTTGGCGCCAAAACAAATGAAATTACTCTTACTTGTGGGCTTTGTTGTTGGCCGCCCCAGACATAATATTTTGAGGCCCAATCAGTGTTTCCGGACAGAGTTCTGGGCCAGCCTTTTTTTATAATTTCAAAGGTTTCAAGATACGCTGTCATAGCCACAAACACAGAAATAAATTGAGTCACAATTATTAATATAGCCTCCGTTTGATCCTCATTTAATTCAATTACATTACATTTCATTTTTCTCTTTCTTATTTTCAACTACACAATCTTCCATAAAATAATATTACACGTAAATCGAAAATTTTTCCTTCTTTTTCAACCACTCATTTTTCTAAAAAATACTATTATTCCCATTTTCATTTTCAAAAAATGGGGACCAAACGAGGCATAATCACAATCACACATTTTTAGATTACATATAATTTATATTTCATAAATTATCACAATCATAAAATAATTAGTCACAAATGCTTCATCCCACTCCACCTCCACGTCCACCTCCAACAATCATTTGCAAATTAACCCCGATCTAAAATTGTAAATAAGTGCATGCAATTTCACAAAAATGCACTAGAAGCCCCCCTCCCCAAATCTTTTCCCACCACCTTTTCTCTAAGACGTTGAGTTGTTGGAACAGCAACAAAGCTAATACAGGACACTGTTGCGATTGTTGCTATAGCAGTGTAGCAGCGTCGTGGTGACAACAGACATGAGACAGCGTGGTGACAAGTGACAATGGTGGATGTGATTGTGATTTGGGGGATGGGTAAAAGAATAAATTAGGGTTTGTGGTTGATGCGTGGGTGTGGGTGAAATACACCATGATTTTTTAAATAAAAATCTTACACCTTTTTTTTAATCGATAAGTTAAAAAGTAGGGGTGGATTAATTTTCACTTTGATAAATTTCAATATTAATAGGATAAAATAGTGGAAATGCAATACATGAATTCCTGTAACATTGTCCTTATATTGGGGGAACGTACAACATATTCCAAAGTTCCGTGGCCAAAATTTAACATTTTAAGCTTCAGTAAGCAATTTAAGGCATATTCCTAAGTTCAATTAGCAATCGAAGACATTGACCCCAAGTTCAGTGATCAAAACTCGACATTTTGAATTTCAGTGACCAATCAAGACATGAATCTAAGTTAAATAACTATTGGAACAAATAAATCGTCATAAGTACAAATAGCAAATTTATAGTTGTCTGAGAAAAGGTACGACGACAAAGTTCCATGCTCGGAAACATAAAATGCAAAGCATACAGAATTATTACTTCTACACATCAGACAGTGTTCATAGAGGACAAAGCAACAAAGAGAGTGCCTAAAGTGAAACACATAATCAGTGCACACTACGCAAAATTCCATGCAAATAGCCGCCACTCATGACAAGCGATACAAAGGAGACGACACCAGCTGGAAAAATCTTGCTCGACTTCTTAAAGCGCAAACCCATCACTCCTAGAAGAGAAGCAGACATCCCAAACCCAAGAGAAGATGCCAAAACGGGGTAAGTAGGAAGCATTGTGTAAACAAGATACAGTAGCAAGGCTGATCCTCCGCCCGCAATCAGAGACTTCTGGCTTCCACTCTTCAAGTAGCCCATAATTCCACCAACTCCGACTAAGGTAGCATAACCAAGTGTCAATTTTTGGGACATTGAAAGTGCCTTCGCTTTCTTGTCACCGCCCTTATGATCATCACTTTCGCCAGATCCCTCACTGCCCCCATTATCATTACCGCCATCATTGCCGCCTCCACCACCACCACCGCCTTTTGGACCACCAAGATCATCATTAGAGCCACCAGAATCTGGGAGGACGTCAATACCTTCCCCAGCTGAATCAACTGTAAATGTAGTAGGCATCTTAGAGTCTGAAACAACATGGACTCTCATGCCCCGGGAAACTGGCTTTGGCTGTGCATAAATGGCGGGAATTGTAACCAACCTTGTTGAACAGAATCGCATACATGAGTTCTCTGACAATGATGCCTGGATACGACCAATGGAAACCAGTCGTCGATTTGGGACTCCAAGTTGAAGCTGGGGCAACAACAGTAAAGATGACTGTGAAACTACCAAAAGTTCTCCCATGTGAACTGAATTTGGGTACCAAGCTTAGATATACCGCACAGATCTTTTATGTAAAGAAAATTGACCGATTTTCAGGATGTTATTTCTTCTGATTTAGTGTAATCTGCAACAAATCCACAAAAATCAATCTTCCATTCACTATCTGCAGTGGCAAATAAATGTAAAATGTAGATGAAATAGCAGCCCACCCAAAAGGCACAGTACAGCGTCGTGACAAAGATGCAAAGTGGCAGGTCAACAAATGTTCATATAATAGGTAACCAAACATCCACTATGGGGGAGTAGACAAAGAACACAGTAATGCAAACAGCAACATCATCTTCTTCAAGTGCAATAATTAAGACTTCTATGAAAAAGCCTTCTTTTATTTGAACATGGAATAAAAAAAAATGAAAAGACTCCAAAAAACCTGTAGAAAATAAATTGACAGGAGGCCGAGCAAAATACAGGAACTAGAAACCTTTAAGCCTCACACACGGTCAAACTCATCTAACTTTTAAAACTCAGATGCCCCATTAACACTTGTCAGTATCAATAGCTATATTAGTCTATACAACTAAATTCGTCAGTACCAGTCAATAAAAATAAAATTAGTCCGTACCAAACAGCTATTGAACTTGTGTTTCTGAGAGGCAAAAAGTAATTTCAGTTCCAATGTGAACAGTCATGGGTACTAAAAATAATAATATAACAGGATGATAAAAGTACAGCATGCTTCCTGGCTCATCAAGGTTGTAGCTTTTCAATACGTACTACTGTTACGTCTAGAACAAAACAATGATTCAGTGTCTAAAGGTTAGCTGACAAGAAAATTAGGATGAGAAATTTTTTCCCTCTTTAATCATAATATTAGTTACTCCCCCCCCCCCCCCCCCCCCCCCCCCCCCCCACGACCCAACCACAAC